CGCCCTTGGCCCGCGGGGAAACTGAGGCTGACGGCCAGGCCCAGGGCTCCCGCCCCCGACGAGGAAACGACCGACACCGGCCGCCCCCGCCCCGTGGGGAGGGCGCCGGTCTGGGGTCAGCAATGGCTTTTCCCAGGCAGTGACATTGGGCTCAGATTGAAGGGTCAGGAGGAGGGTCTGGCCAAGGGGAGGCAGGAACACCTGCCAGGGAAGGACAGAGCCAGGCTCCACTGCCCAGCAGGTCAGCCCCTGGCCCGTCTGGGCCTCGCTGCTCCTCTGGAAGGTAGGGGCTCAGCTGGGAGTTGAGCTGCTCTGGCCCCTGTGCCTGGCTGGCAAGGGGAGCCAGCCAGCTCTGCGCAGAGACTCCCCTCCTGGGCCATCCAGGGAGCCCTCACTCGGCTCACCTGCCAGTGGGGAGTCCTTGCTCCCATCTTGTCTATGAGACCCTGAGCCCATTAAGTCAGTCAGCAAACACACCAAGAGCCTACTGTCCTGGGCCGTCCTGGTGCACAGCGCCTCCAGGGACAGGGGGCTAGGCACCGGCACTGTGTAGGGGAGCCCCCTGTTGCTGTTGGACCTCTGGGCAGGTAAGCAGCGGAAGGGCACCGGATCCCCTGCACACAGGCCTCCTCTTTCAGCAGATAGGTATGACATGGTGCCAAGTGCCCTTCCAGACACAGGGACCCAGGGTGAAGAAGGGCAGATCCCAGCCCTGTCGGACTGAGCTCAGAGGAGACCAGCTGCTGACCACAGAATCCAGCCTGGAAATCCTAAAACTGTGTGTGTAAAAGGGAAGAATGGGGCTCGGTATGTCCGGGCGAGGGCTCATTGAAAGGCTGCTATCCAAGACTGTACCCCAAGGACAAAGTCGGCCACGGAAGGGCGAGGAAGAGAGGTCCTGGGTCTACAAAATGAGGGTGTGCTGGAGTGTTCGGTGGCTCCCTGCTGCCATCAAAATCGGATTTTGCACGATGGCACACGCCAGGATGGCAAGTTGGAGACCAGCCTGAGCAACTTACTGAGACCTGTCTCAAAATAAGTGAAAGGGGCTGGGATTGTGGCTCAGTGGTAGAGCACCGTGGGTTCCATCCCCAGTGCCAAGAAGTAAAAGAAATCCACAATCCAGGTCTGGGGGTGCAGCTCAGCGGGAGAGCACTGGCTGGGCATGCATGAGGCCCTGGGTTTGATCCCCAGCACCACAAAGATAAAGAAATAATCAAATTATTGATTATTGGGGCTCAAAATAAGAAAGGGGCTAAAACCCTCAGCCCTTTCTCCCTCCATGACCCCAACCCCTGGTCTGCTCCATACTCCAAGCACCGCCAGCTCCCGGGCCTGTGCACTTGGCTGTTCCTCAGCGGGTCACTCTCCGCTGGCTTCTCGTGGGCATTTTCAGTGCTGGGGATGCAACCCCGGCCTGCAGGCCTGGCAGGCTCTATCCCAGCTGGGCCCGGCCCTGGCCTTGCTGCTCAGAAAGGCCCCTCCTAACCTGCCTGCAGCCTGCGGGCCCCACCACCTGTTCCCTGAGCCCCGCCCCTTGCTGTCTCCCCACCCCAGGCTGTGTGGGGACTGGACACTCCTGGCCCTCAGCGGCCTGGCATGAAGCAAGCTTGAGGCAAGTCCAGAGGCGTGGGCAGGCGGTGGGGAAGGAGTGACCTGTGGGCTGCAGCGCCGCATTGCCCTGCTGCCCTGCCCCACACGCCCCCCGAGCCAAGAGTGCGTGCTTCCAGGCTCCTGGTTCCAAACGGGGACACGTCCTCCTCCCCTGGGACACCAACAGTGCCCTCCGGGACCCTGAGTCCAGATGGTGTCCCCAGCCCTCTTCACCTGCCCCCGCGGCCCCTTGGCTTCTCGGGGCCTCCCTCCCTCAGCCTCTGCCCAAATGCCTCTAGCTGGGGGTGCACCCCCCTTTCCTTTGGCTGTGCTGAGGGGACCCAGGCCTCACGCGGGGCCCTGCTCATTCACTTTGAGGAGGCCTCACTAAGTTGCCCAGGCTGGCCTCGGAGTGCCGCCTGCCCCAGCCTCCCGAGTGGCTGAGACGAGCAGCGGTCCCGGGCCGGGCTCGGGCCTTTCCCTGAGGCTCCTCTGGGTTCTGCTGGGCAGCCTCACCTCTTGCCCCTCACCTGTCCCTGATGCCTCCGGACCTGTGGCCCTCTTTCCTCTCCAGGCACAGGGCGCTTTCCTTCCTTAGTCTGGTCACCTGAAAGTCACCTTGGCCTGTGCCTCAGGGACCCCATTTTCCCCTTGAGGCTTTAGTAACCACCTCCTGAGGATGGCTCTAGATCTGGCTCCACCCCAGATCCGACCCTGGGAGACCCTGGCCTGTGGGCCCAGCCACCAACTGGACATCTCCCCTGGGTGTCCCTAGGCCGGTTCCTGACCCTGTCAGCCCCTCAGCCCACCCCCATACTCTGAGGCCGAGGTCCATCACCTGCCCCGTGACCCCTCCTCCCCACCCCAGCCAGTCCCACCCCTCCCCGCTGCCTGGCTCCTCTGCAGTCCCACCAGCCACCTCCTCCCACCAGCACCTCCCTCTGGGCTGTCAATCTCAGCCTGGCCCCCTCACTCCCACCTCCCACAGCTCCCTATTGCTCCGGGGGACAAATCCCCAGGGCCTTTGGCCACTTAGCCCCGCCCCCTCCACCAGTGCGCACCGCCTGCTCCAGCCACCTGGGCCCGATTGATGGCCTAACTGGCCCCCACTCAGGGTCTTTCCTGGGGCTGTTACCTCTTCCTGGAATTCCCCCTCCTTCCTCTACTGCCTAGAGATGTGCATCCTTCCTAGGCCCCTCAAACGCCTCTCCTCCAGGCAGCACCTCCAAAACCACCCCCAGCCTCCGGTCTCCCCTCCTAGTGTTGGTGTACAAGTGGACATTTATTCTAGAACCACCTCCTCACGCTGCAGGACGCTGGCACCCTAGGGAGGACCCTGCCCCAGGTCTTGCCAGGCAGGAGCTTCCGGGATGGGTGGAGGGAAGGGAACAGAACTGAACACACGCATGGTTCCCAGGCCCGGAGTCGGAGCTAGGAGGAAAGAGCCAGGGCTGAAGGGACCCGGGAGGGCGCAGCTTCCTGAAGCAGGGCTTTGTGCCCACCAGCGCCTGGATCCCTCAGCGGCACACTGCACAGCGGGGGTAAGTACAGGCTTGTGGATTGCCTGGGAGGCACAAGACCACACGCACGCCATCTCTTGGTGTGCATGAGCTGCCAGGAAGGAGGAGCAGTTGCTCTGAGCTGCAGCGTCCCCACCCTGGAGAGCCGCGGATGGGACGTGGGGAGGCTCGGCTGAGCCAAGCCTGTGAGAGGCGTGGGGATTCGGGTGACTGCGAAGTCCCTGAAATGCACATTCGGCCAGACTCGGAAGCAAGAAAAGACTCGCAAGGCAGGGAGTTAACAGCCTGCCCAGTTTCTAGCACAATCTTTCCGCAGCCAACCCTATCCAGGGACTTCAAGCCCCACCTCCTGGGTCTCAGTTTCCCCATCTGCAAAATGAGCGCTGGGAGCTGTGAAATGGAGAAGGGGGTTTGGCTTCCAATGTCTCTCCTCCCGCTATACAGAAAGACTCAGCCCCTGTTTCCTGGCTGAGTTTTTATGATGTGGATGTGGGGTTTTTTTTAAAGGAAAAAGCTGAGAAGCAGCGCTGGGACCCTGGATTGCTCAGACCACCTTAAATCAGCCTCACCGCCCCAGCTACTGTGGAAATTCCTTTCTCCACGGTGGTTGGCTGAGCGCGCCAGCCAATCCATCCGCGGCGCTCCCACATGGGTCCGTGACGTCACAATGGGCGCTGGCCAATGGGCACCTGGATGCCAGCGACCAATGGCAGGAGGCTGTGAGATCGACTGGGCCAATGGGAAGGCGGCTAGGCGCTCCCCGCGGGGTGTGGCGAGTGTAGTTCCCCCTCCCTAGGCGGAGCAGAGACCGTCGTGGACCACCGAGCCCGGCTCGGGTGCAGGGGGGTGTCTGGCTTGACTGACCCCCAAAACGGAGTAGCGAGTTATTCTCTAAGCCTGGCAGGTCTCCCCTTAAAAACAAAGCTCCCTCGCCCAACTTGCTACTTGGGCGAAGCCCGGGCGCCTCCGAGGCAGAGGCGGTGCCTTTCGCCCCATTTCACAGATAGGTAAACCGAGGCAGGGAGCGGCGAAGTCTCGCGAGACGCCCCAGGGACGAGTCCAGACTCTACCCGAGCCTGGAGGTCCCGGGCATCAGCTCGGCTTTATCCCCAGGAGGGCAGCGGCGGGGGGGCCTACAGCTGTAGGCGGGGCGCGGGGTGCCGGCGCGGCCTCCGTTTCCCCCGAGCAGGCCGCGGGGGCCGAGAGCGGGGCTTCTCGGGGAGGACTACGAGCCCCAGAAGCTCGCGCGCGGCGCCGGCCCAGGCTGTCAATCAAAGTAACGTGGGTCCCTTCCCTCCCGCGCCCCCGCCCGCGCCCGCCTCCTGCCAGCTCCCGCTCCCTCCCCGCCGGCTCCGGGCCCGGCGCGGTATAATTACAGCCCATTGATCCGACCCGGGCCGGGAAAGCGGCTCCCTCGGGGAGGCCCAGCCTTTGGCTTCCGACACCGCCAACCTCTGCCTCCCGCGCCCCCCAGCCGAGCTGCCGGGCCACCAGCCAGGCCGGTCCCCTCCCGCTGGCCCCGGGCTCTCGGGTGACCTCTGAGCTTCAGTTCCCCGCCACGCCTGGCCGCAGCCCCCTGGGAAAACCGCACACACGTTTCTCTCGGCTTAGAACACCAGGAGTTCCCGCCCCCAGACTGCAGGCTCTGGGCCTCTCTCTGGGCCTCAGTTTACCCACCTGGACCCGACTCATCCATGAAACGCATTCAGAGGCCGTTCTGAGCTGGAGTAACCAGGGCGAGGCCATACTGGGGACCTGAGGAGGGGTCCCCAAGACTGGGAAGAGGGGGAGTCAACACCACTCTGCCGTCTGCAGTCAGGGCTGGGGTAGAGGGAGGACCAGCACGGGGGGGGGGAGTGGGGGCAGGCAGAGCCAGGAGTGGGGAGATGGGGCAGACTTCCCAGGGGTCGGGTGGGGGGGGGCGTTAAGCTGGGGTTCTGCAGAGTGCATAGGAGTTGTCATTTGGGCCTTTAAACCATCCCAACCTAAAGCTGGCAGAAGAAATCTGAGGACCTTGGCCCTTTCTGGAGACCAGGAAAACTTGAGCTCTGGCCCCTGGCCTGGCTCCTGGGACTCTGAGGGTCCCCAGCTGTGAAACGGGGAAGCAGACACCAGGATGGCAAAGCCCTCTGCCTCCTGTCCCGTGGGCCCTGCATCCAGCCTGGAGTTGGGGAGTGGCAGCCAGCGGCAGGAGGTTCTAGAGTGGCCCAGACTCAGGATCACAGCCTCTCTGGGCGGCTGGAGGGACAGAAGGGACCCTGTGTCGACCCAGGGGCTCCGCACCTAGCAAGTCCCCACTGCCTGGCTCCTCATCTGGAAAGCAAGTGGGCGAAGGTCTCACATAAGGCCCACACTGCCCTTAGAGTGACCCCAGCAAATGACCAGTAAGGGGCAGACCTCCCACTGGGTCCTAGTTCTCTCCCCCTCGTACCAGACCCCGCACCTGGGCTACGCCCCTGCGTTCCTCTCACATCCATGGTCATCCATAAAGGGAGCAGACTGTGGCCTGGCTCAGCGGGAGGGCGTGTGCCCACAGGTGGGAGGCCCTGACTCTCAGCACCGCCTACAAACAGAAGAAAGAAACCGAGGCCCATCAGCCTCTCAGCAAATCACCAGGAGCCAGCCTGGCCTCAGTCCTGCTGAAGGACCTTCCCATCTCCCTGCGGCCCTCAGAGGAGGATCCAAACTGCCCCCCTGTGGCTCTGACCCCCTCAGCTTCCAATTCTCAAGGCCTTGGGGCCCTGCCCTTGCCATCCCCTCCGCCAGGACCAGGCTGGCCCCGCTCCCAATTTCAGGGTGGTATCCGTTCCTGGAGGGGCAGCCCGGCTGCAGCACCCTCCTCCCTGGTCAGCTCCTCCCACCACACCCTCTTCAGAGGCCTGTCCCTCTTGCTACCTATTTGCTTATATGTTTATGGTCCACCCAGGCCTCCATACAGGGCTGGCTGCACTGGGTTTATTGGGAGAATAAATGGGTGAGCACAGAGAGGGTCATGACCTCTGCAGGGTCACCCAGCATGTTGGGTAGGAGGAGGCCAGGCCCCTGGCCTGTGGGCCACCTACAGCTGAGGTCTACGGGTCAGTCTCCTGGGATAACCATGCAGCGCTGAGGGCAGGCCCTGCCCCTGTGTGGTGGGATTCTGACAGTGGGATTCTCCACTGGGTGTCAGGGTTCAGGCTCAGTGGGGGAAGACCTAGTCACTGCCAGTGAGTGGGAGGGGGGCCGCAGGGACACTCAGGTGGGGCTGCAGCTGCCACCCAACAGATGACCCCACAGCCACTGGCCCCCTGTTCCAAGTGGGGCCCTGCCTCCCTTCCCAGCCCCCGGGCACTCTGCTGGACCCCAGCTGCCCCATCCCCCAGGCACGGCACAGAAGAGGGCTGAACACAGCCACCGCCTGGCCCTGGCCCATCCGAGAGCTCCTCCTCCAGCCTCCTCCTCCTCCTCCTCCTCCTCCTCCTCCAGCCTCCTCCTCCAGCCTCCTCCTCCTCCTCCTCCTCCAGCCTCCTCCTCCAGCCTCCTCCTCCTCCAGCCTCCTCCTCAGGCTTCGGGTTTGCCTGCGGCCTTCACTCCCCTCTGGCCTCAGCCTGCTCACTCTGGGGATGGAGGACAACCCCATGTGTCCCAGGGGAGTCCTGGACAATGGCAGCTACGGCCCCACCCTTCCTCAGGAGGACACGCCAGCTGTGGGGCTTATGGGAAGGCACTGGGGACTCGAGGCCGAGGCAGGAGGACTGCAAGTTCCACGCCAGCCTGGGCACTTAGTGAGACTCGGACTGAAAGGTCACCAGGGCTGGGGGTGTGGCTGGGGTAGGCCTGCCTGCCTGGTCCCGCCCTGTGCTGCAGCCTCAGAGGGAGCAGAACAGGCCCGTGCTTCCTGCACCCTGCCCCACGCCTCCCTGCTGCTTGGAAGGTGGGCCTCTGTCCCCACACAGCTCCCCAGGACAGGCTGCTGCCGCCAGGTGACCTCAGAGAGGCCTCCATCTCCCAGGCCCTGGCCGCCCCCTGCCCCTCAGGCGGCTGCTGCAGCATCTGCTCTGAACCCAGTTTCTGTGCAGTGCCCTCTGGGGTCCCCGGGGGGAGCTGTGTGCAGTGCATACAGCAGGTGCCCAGCAGACACTGGCTCAGGAATGAAAGGAAGCCATTCTACCAGAGGAAGCCAGGCCCCGAGTCACCAGGGACCAGCCTGGGGCCACCCCTCCCCACCTCCCAGGCCTGGCCTAGAGCCAGGTCCTCTGCCCACATTCGCCACTGGGCCCAGCTCAGCTGGTGGCACAGGCCCCCCAGGTCCTGCAGGCAGGGACCGCCCTTCTGGGTGGGGGTCTGTGGGATGAGCAGGAGGAGGAGGGAGGAGGGGAGGGCGGAGGAGGCGGGAGGGTCAGGGCGGGCTTCCAGGCCTGGCCAGCAGCCAGCAGGCCTGGGGGTGGGAGCTGTTCCTAGGGGGAGGCCGGCTGAGACTTGGGGGCACAGAGCAGGGACAAGCTGGGAGAGGAGGGGGGACACAGAGAAGGAGGGGAGGGACACAGAGGGAGCCTCACGGGCCAAGGAAGAGGGAAAGGAGCGGGCAGGAGAGACCCTTCCCAGAGCCAGAGCGCAGGCAGCGCCGGGAGCCACCCCGGGAGGGCAGGCGGCCTCCTGGACCCAGCGTGGGCAACTGTCCCGCCACACACCTGCAGGGCCCAGGCTACAGGCGGGGTCCCCCGGGTCAGACACAGCAGCTCTGCTCTCTGCCATCTCGGCCCCAAGTCACCAGGCAGCTGCTGTGTGGGGCACTGCAGGCTGCTGGGGCCGCTGTGAGCCAATCATCAGCCAGCAGCAGGCCCTGGTGGCTCAGCGGTGACCCGGTGGGAACATATTGTCCCTGCACTCAGAGGGGGAAAGCTGAGGGAAAGCCGAGCAGAAATGCTGGGAGACAAAGGGCCAGGATCGGAGGTGGCTGGGCGGGCGAGGGCGGCTGCTGGGAGGAGGTCGTCCAGGCCCAGGGCAAGGCCTTCAGGGATCCTGGGCAGCAGAGAGGTGGAGCAGAGCAGCAGGAATGGAGGCCGAGACCGCCCAGGAGGGAGGGGCGAGGGGCGGGGCCATGGGGGGGCTCCCCGACGTGCCTGGGATCTGCATCCCACACCTTCAATTCCCCCCTCCTGCCCACCCCACGCTGGCCCAGAAACTACTTTTTCTTAAAAACAATGGTCAAGAAGGTGGACCTCCTGCCTTTGGGTCCGGCTTCCTTGGCTTTGTGACTTAAAGCAAGTCACTTGGAGTCTCTGAGCCTTCCTTTCTTCACCTGTAAAATAGTTTCTCAGACCTATTCCGGGATTGCAGAGGTCAAGCGAGGAGGGCAGGCGCCTGGCCCAGCTGGAGCGCCCAGAACTCAGCCGCGCCAGCTCCCCTCCCTCCTGAGCCAGCTCCCCTCCCTCCTGAGCCAGCTCCCCTCCCTCCTGAGGTTCACAGGTTCGCTTCACCCGCTGGGCTGGACGCTCAGCTTGGACCTGGTGTGGCCAAGAGCTCCGCGCCCACCTTTGGGCTGGCAGCTCACAGTGGCTCTTGTGAGCTTGGCTGCGTCTGCCCTGGCCGGGCTCTGCTTCCCATGGCACAGTGGGAGGGAGGGAGGTCCTGGCCAAGGCCCCACCCACTGCTCTGCAGTGTGGCCTTTTCCTCCCCCTCCAAGACTGAGACTGCCCCCCCCCCCAAGCTCCAGGCTGGGGTCTTGCGGGAGAAGGAGGCCACCCAGTGTGTAGGCGGCCCTGGCTGGAATGCTCAAGGCGTACATGCTATTTCTATCTTGTATTTCTGGGTGTTTTCCTCCCTGGCTGGCGACAGTAGTGGGGGTCCATGGGCCTCCAACCCAGAGCTGTAGGCTGGGCTAGCCCTGCGGGGTGAGGTCCCTGAGGCCAGGACTCCGGAGCTGCAGGCTGGCCTTGGAACACTGAGGACTCAGAACCAGTGGGCGGCAGGGTGTGGTGGCACACACCTGTAATCCCAGCTACTGGGGAGGCTGAGGCAGGAGGATAGCAAGTTTAAGGCCAGCCTCAGCAACCTAGAGAGGCCCAAAGTAACTTAGTGAGACCAGACCCTGTTCCATAATAAAAAAGTAATAAGGGCTGGGGATGTGGATCCATAGTTAAACCCCCTGGGCTCAACCCCTGGCACCAAACAAATAAAAATCACGAGCAGATGGGCAATAAGGCAAAGAGAGGGAGGCCTTCCTGGTCCTCCTCCCACCTCCAGGCCCAGGTCCCAGCTTCAGAGCCTGGGAGGGGGAAGGGAAGGAGTGCGGGCAGAGGGGCGGGGCTTCTGCAGAAGGGGCTGGCAGTCTCCTGGGCTCCCTTCGCCGCAGTTCTGGGCACGTAGGCTGGGCGCCCTCTCCTCCCCCTCCCTCCTTCTCCCTCGGGTTCCTACTCCCCTCCGCCCACATCCCTGCTCCCGCTCATCCCTCCTCCTCCCACATCCCTCCTCCTCCCTCATCCCTCCTCCCTCCCCCATCCTCCCTCCCTCCCCCATCCTCCCTCCCACATCCCCCCTCCCCCACCCTCCCTCCCCCATCCCTCTGGCCTCCCCCACCTCCCCACCCTGCTGCTTTCCCAGCTCCCCATTCTCCCTCCCTCCCCCTCCCCTCCCCCTTCCCTCCTCCCCATCCCTCCCCCTGCGTCCTCCGCCTCATTAGGCTGCGGGCCGCGGGCCCATTAGCGGATCAATTAGCCGAGGTCGCGCTGGCGGCCCGCAGCCCTCCCGCCCGCACTGCGGCCGAGACCGTGCGCGCTGCTCCGCCCGCGCGGGGGCTCCGTGGGGTCCTCGGTGGGGCCCCTACCCAGGGAAGGGAGGCGCGCGGCCTCTTCCGGCCTCCTCCGGCTCTGTGGCCCGTTTTAGGGATAAAGAAACCAAGGCCCGGGGCTGGGGTGGGGCCGAGCCAGGGTGACGCCCAGCTGCAGACCCACCCCGGCCCTGGCCCTCGGGGTCCTCAACCCGGTTAGGCGCCTGGCCACTCACTGGAGATCCGTTGAGGAGGCGGCAGATGACCGGCTCCTGCAGCAGCCCCCTCCACAAGAGGGGAACCCGGGAAGCCACCGCGGTCCCTTGTCCTGTGTGCGGGGTTTGCACAGATGGACTCAAGCCGCCCTGTGTCCCCTCCTCAGCCCCTCCTTGTGCGGGGGACATACCCAGGGCTCCCACTCAGCCACATCCCAGACCTTTTGCTTTTGAGACAGGGTCTTGCCCAGTTGCCCAGGTTGCCCCCCAACCCTGGGTCTTCCTGCCTCGGCCTCTGGAGTCCTGGGGGTGACTTAGTGCTCAGTGGCTCCTGGGGGCCGTGCTCTGGGGCTGGGGCTGGTTTCTGTGGGTGCAGCCCTGGTGGGACTGGCTGTCCCAAGGCCTCTGGGCGAAGCCTGGCAGGGGAGCTCCAGTCCATCTTGGGGCGCCAACCAGCACTGCCACCTGAGAAGGCTTCCCCTGGGGTGCTCCCTCTGGGGTGCGTTTGGCAGGGTCACCTCACTTTCCTGGGAGCAGTGAATGCAGGAGGTGAACTGGCACCCAGACCGCAGTTTTTGAGACAGGGCCTTATTAAGTTGTTTACGGCCTCGCAGAGTTTCTGAGGCTGGCTTTGAGCCGGAGATCCTCTGGCCTCAGCCTCCCCAGCTGCTGGGATGACAGGCGTGGCCACCGGGCTGACACTCTGTCCACACTGCAGTTGTCCCAGGTGCTTTGGCTGCAGTGGTTTTGGGTGGAACCATTCTCTCCTTAGGGACAAAGGCTCTCCCCTAAGGTCACCTGTTGCCGAAAAGTGTGCTTCTTGGGCCGTCGGCCCCTTTTCTCTGGTGGCGGCCTGAGGTGCCCTCCCTTGATCCAAGCTCCAGAGGAGCAAAGTTGCAGTGTGGAGGTGGGTGCATGTGGTGGTCCCAGGTGGGGGAGCGGTGGGGTACAGCCTACTTCCTGTGGGACTGAGGTTGGTTAGGGGGTCTGTTTTTTAAGTATCACAGAGTCTCTGGGTTCAGAAACCACCTGTGTGTCACTTACTGGCTCAGAGACCCCTTAGCCATTCTGAGCCCCTTATCCACCTGTCAGAACAGCTCACCAGCACCCTGGTGCACACCTGTGATCAGCGGCTCAGGAGGCTGAGGCAGGAGGATCGCAGTTGGTGGTCAGCCTGGGCAACTTAAAACCCTGTCTCCAAAGAAAAAACAAAAACAGGAATGTGGCCCAACAGTAAGATGCTCCTGGCTCAACCCCCAGGACCAAAACAAACAGAAAACACCCAGGTGGTCCTGGAGGGTCTGGGCCATGCTGTGTAACCCCAAGCCTCCAGCTCACCCTCTCTGGGCTGGGTATCAAAAGGAGGTGGGCACCATGAGCAGCTCCACCTACCTGGGACCCTGGTGCCCTGTCCTGGCACAGGTGACCCAGAGTGGAAGGGAGTGTCCTCCTCCCCAGGCCGGCCCCTTCCCCACAGAGGCAGGAACGCAGGACCGAGTCACAGCTTCATTGGAAAGGCACAGCTAAGCCCACCCTCCAGACAGTGTCGCCCTTCAGGGGACAGGAGTGGCCTGGGGCGGGGGCGTTGTTTTCCTTAGAAACATTTTTCTGTCTTCTTCCCCTCACGTGCCCTTCCCTGGAAGACCAGCTAATGCACTGGGAAAAGAAAACCACACAGCAAAGCCAAGACGACGTAGTACCCTCATCTTTATTTGGGAAGGGTGGAGGGAAGTCCGGGCGCCCCCGCTCGGTCCCCGCTCTGCGCGTCCCGCTAAGCTCTGGGCGCTCGCTCGGGCCCCCCTCGCGGGCGAGGGGAGGGGACCAGGTGGCTGGGGGCGTGAGGAACTGGCGGGGGAGGTGCGTGGGAAGCGAGGAGGAGCAGGTGGGTCCGGGGCCACTCTGGGGTGCCCGGGCGGGAGGTGTCGCATGCAGTGCCGGGGTGGGCTGCGGTGGCCTGTGCGGGAGGGGGTGCAGGGAGGGAGGGGTTTCTCGAGGTCCTGCTCCCCGCGGACCTGGTCCCCCGCTGCCCTCCTCGGCGTGGCCCACCTGGGCAGGGGTCACCTGCTCAGGCTGCGGGGGAGGCAGGGGGCTGGGCGGGAGCGAAGCCCGGGGGCTGCGCGGGCAGGGCCAGGGCCCCGGCCGGCGACCATAAATACCACGGAGCCGGGCCGTCCCGGGCCCCTGGGCCGCGCGGCGTCCCCGCCTCCCCGCCCCGCTCCCGGCCGGCGCGGCTAATCCGACTTCTCCCCGTCGTCGTCCTGGTGCGCGTCCCCGTCGTGGCCGTTCTTGTCCTCCTTGGAGAGGTGCGCCTGCGAGCCCAGCGCCGACAGCGACAGGAGCCCGGAGCCCGCGCTGACCGCCGGCAGCGACGGGGGCTGCAGCCCCACCGGCAGGGGCGTCAGGGGCAGGGCCAGCGCCTGGAGCTGCGACAGCTGGTGCGCCTGGAGCTGCTGCTGCGGGGTGGAGGGAGGGCCTGCGTGAGCCGCGGCCGGACCCGGGCCCCCCGCCCCCGGGCCCCGACCTACTCGGATGATGGAGTTGAGCTCGGGCGCGGTGACCTGCTTGGCCCTCTCGATGGCTCCCAAGACCTGCTGCTGGTGCTGGAAGGGGGTGGGGAGAGGGGTCAGGGGTGTGGCAGGGGAGCGCGCCGGAAAGTCCCCCTCCAGCCACTTCCATGGGGACCAATGGAGAAGAAGCGCAGAATCTCAAAAGGCGTGTGTGTGTGTGTGTGTGTGTGTGTGTGTGTGTGTGTACGTGTACACGCACGCGCAGGCACCTGGGGAATGGCCGGTGGCCAGAGAAACCTGGGCCACTTCCTGTGAGTGAAACCCAGCCAGTAAAAGATGCAACCTGCGCCACTGTCCTGGGACATCCTGATCTGTCTGTGCTGAGAACTGCCCTGGAGCCCCTGCTTCCTGCTGGGCGGGGACAGGAGTGCAGGCTCAGGGTCACTTCCTAATGCAGTTCTGCCTCAGAGTGTCTCTCCTCAAACTGGCATTAGACGCCAGAATCCACCGGCTCCTTTTTGCCTTGGCTACCAGGAAGCCTGTTTGGAGAGGAAAGCCTCAAGCCTGAGGCTGGGAGGCTCCCAGTGCCCTCTCCTCGGGGCTGTCCCTGGGAAGATGAGGTGGGGCCAGGGGGCAATCACAAGCTAGAGGACGCCCAGGGGGCATGAGGCTGGCAAGCCTGGACCCCAGGCCAACGGGGAAGAGCTGGCTGCCCAGGGGACGTGGGTGAGGTGCGCTCCACCCTGCAGCCCTGTCTGCGCCCCTGTGCATGGGTGGCACTCGCCCACGAGCCCATGTGACCGCCCCAGCCCTGCCCACACCCTGGCCTGAGCAGGGGCACCACACTCCCCACCCCCCCTCACTGGAGCGCTGCCTTCAGGGAGGCCCAGAGGGGAGTCCCAGGGCACCCAGCGCAGGCAGCAGGAAGGGCCGGCCCCGGTGCCAGCTCCTGCAGGTCGGGCTCACCTCCTGGGACAAGTAGGGCAGGACCTGGGCACAGATGCCGTTGAGTCTCTTGACGATTTCAGCCTGGAACACAGAGGCGTCAGTCCCCGGGGGGGCAGGGCAGGGTGGCACCAGGCTGGGCAAGGCTCTTTCCAAGCCCAGGGGCCATGGGGCACCCGGAGGCGATGGCCGCGTGGCTGCAGGGGAAGGCTCCCTGGGACGGAGGGGGTCCCCGACACCCCAGGTCAGGGTGGTGGCAGGAGCCCAGCCCAGAGGGCCAGGGGCCTCCTGGGTGACACCCTATGGGCAAATGGTCCCCTCCCCTGATGTCACGAAGGACACGTAGGAGGTGGCAGGGTGGCAGGGTGAGGGAGCTGCTCCTCAGGGCTGGGGACAGCCGGGGACCCAGACACACCTGCTTGTGCATCTCGATGTTCAGGCCGTAGGACATCTCATAGTACTGTGGGGACAGACAGGGTAGGCCGGCCTCAGAGCCGAAGGAAGGTGGCAGCCAGGAGCAGGAGGAGCCACCCACACCCCAGGTCCAGCAGCAGCATCCAGCTCTGCCCGCCCAGCCTGGGAGCGCTTCACCACCCAGCCCACGGGGCTAGGGGCCCGGGTGGAGGTTCTGAGGTCACCCTGCCAGCGCCCACGGGCAGGGAGGGGTTAAGTGCCGGATGCCAGGGCCCAGCAGGTGGAGGGACGCTCCCCCACGACAGTTCCAGTTCCTGGCTGCTGCTTCCACAGCGGTGCCTCCTCCTCCAGTGGCTGCCAAGGACAGCCGGGGACCTGGCAGGCCCGGGCTGCAACCCGGCGGCTTGGCACCTCGGCCACTACCTAGGCAGGCAGCCAGGCCAGCGGGGCGGCTGAATGAGAGCCACCCAAGCCCTCGGGCTCCGGAGCTGGCAGCCGCTGGGGGGCAGGAGGCTTGGGGACCTTACCATCACATAATGGCGCTGCATCTCGGACTTCTCACTGGCCAGCTTGTCACACTCGAGCTTCAGGCTGAGGACGCACAAGGGGGGAGGGAAAGGGCTGGTGCGCAGGTCCCCCGGGGCAGGAAGCAGAGCCCCCCCGCCCGGCACCCCCCAGGGCAAGACCAGTCCCTCGGAGGGTGGAGCACAGCTCTCCTGGGCAGGTGCATCCAGCTGGACTGCGCAGGGGAAGCTGTAAGGCGGATCAGGAGACCAGGCTGCGGTGGCAGAAGAGTCACGAAAATCACAGCCACGACCCGAGCCAGAGTGAGCCCTCTCAGAACACCCATGACGTCAGCTGAACCCTACTCATACTCCTTTTACAGATGCAGTGGATGCCCAGAGAGGGTGAGCAGCTGGCTCAAGGTCACACAGCCAGGAAGCAGCCCAAGGGGAGGAATTCAACCAAGGGGAAGAACTCTCCAGACACAAATCAGGACTGGCGAAGAGGCTGAGGGAGGCCCCAGAGTGCCAGGTACAGCTTCCGACTGGACACCCAGGGATCCTGGCTCAGCTGCGGGCCTGCATTTCCTTGGGGTACACTTTGGGGAGAGGGCTGGGAGAGCTGCCCCCACTGATTCACCTTGTGCTGAGCAAAGACACACCTTGCACATTTGCACACCAGGGTCAGTGCCCAGGTGACTTCTTTCAGGCTGTCCCAGTAAGAATGAGCCGTGGGCACCTCTCCAAGACCCTCCAGGTCACGGGCGTGGGGGGGAGCCAGCAGGGAGGCGCCAGACCCGGAAAAGGACTGGGGGCGCCAAGTAAGTCCTGTCCTCCAGGCGGGTTCAACCCAGGCCCCTGGGCAGGGGGCTCTGCATGCTGCCCCAGCCCCCAGGACAAAGAGCCCCAGCTGGCCTGGCTGCACCTCCCCACGCTGCTGCCCTGGAGGGGCACGTGCCCCTCATGGGCTCCCTGGGACCCTGTCCTCCTCTGTAAGGACCCGCCTCCCAGGCCAGGGTGAGCCCTTCAACAGAACCCAGCATACAGCAAGCACTCAACAAATGCTTCTTGATCTGCGAGCGAGCACTGGAGCCTGGCACCCCGTCCACCACAGCAGGGTCCCTCACAGCAGGGTCCCTCACAGCAGAGTCACTTTGGCCCCACAAGCTTTTCTAGATTCTTTGAAAAGATGCATTTGTTGGTCAGGTGCGGAGGCCGCGCCTGTCACCCTGGAGGCCTGGGAGGCTGAGGCAGGAGGATGGCAAGTCTGATGTCGGCCTGGGCCACTCAGCAAGACGTTTCAAAATAAGAACTGAAAAGGGCAGGGGATGTGGCTCAGTGGTAGAGCCCCCGGGTCAACCCCAAAACAAAATCCCAAACAATCCAAAGGACAAGACGTGAAAATAAGAAAGAAAACGTCACCGTGTTGGGCGGGGGGTGGGGTGATGGCTGGGTGGCAGAGCGTTGCCTGGCATGTGTGGGCGCTGGGTTCCATCCTCAGCACCACAGCAAAGTAAAACTATTGTGTCTGTCTACAACTAAGAAAGTTTTTTACAAATGTCCATCTGTTGCCACCGTTACCAACCCGACAGCAGGGCTGGGCCGGGGCTCGTGCAGCACATGCGAGGCCCTGGGTTCGAGCCTCAGCCCCACATAAAACCAGACAAATAAAATAAGGTGCTGTGCCAACTACAGCTGAAAACCACCACCCAAGGGCAGCTGGGTGGCAGGAGCCCTCGCTCCACCACCCCCCCCCCCGGAGGCCAGTGCCCGCCCACCTTCACCCAGAATCCAGTGTTTCTTGAGGCTCCAGCCACCCCGGGCCATTGTACCTGGGGGTCCCGAGTCTGCCCCCAACACGGCAGGTCCCCTCACGGACGGAGTAACACTCAGAGAGGGGATGGGCTTGGTGGCCACCCTCAGACCCTCAGACACAAAGGACCAGCACCTGGGCTCCGCGTGCAGTGGGGCCACCAGGCACCATGGGACCAGAACCAAGCTCCCGGGCCTGCAGGGAGGCCAGCTCCAGGCCTCCGGCTGCCAGTGCCTCGTGTCCCTCTCCTGGACACGGGCACAAAAATGGGGCAAGAGCTTGAAGCCAGAAAACTGAGGTTCATGCTCAGTTCTGGGAAGCACCCAAAAAAGGCCGCGCAGCGTTAAAACAGCCACAAAGAAAAGTGCCCCTTTCTTCTTGGAGCAACCAGATCTACAAAGGGCCGGAGACCTCATCCAGAAGGTGCCCAGGAAGGAGACCCTGGGGACTGAACCCAGGGGTGCTCTACCCCTGAGCCACACCCCAGCCCATTTTTCTTTATAATTTGAAACTGAGCCTCCCTAAGTTGCTGAGGCTGGCCTCAAACTTTGGATCCTCCTAGCCAAGCCTCCTGCGTTGCTGGGATCCCAGGTGTGACCACCGTGCTGGGCTGCAAGTCCCCTCCTGACAGCCAATTCTTGGGAACTTGCATTCTGGAGCCGGGAAGTCTGGGTGAGAATCTGTTTTGCTGCTTCCTACAGAAAATCTGTAACCTCTGTGGGCTTCAGAACAACCCCAGCTCCTTCCCGAGCCCTTCAGAGATGTGACAATACTACTGGAAGAGCGGCCTGGAGACCTTCCCCCTGAAGTTAGGGAGAGACGGTGACCAGGCTGCAGATTCTTTTTGGGGGGGGGGGGCAGAGCTGGAAGATCAGCCCCTAAATCCAGCTGTGGAAAGCTTTTATCCAATTGGGATTGGAGCTGGGGGGCTCAGAAACCACAGGGGCTGGGTGTCCGGGCAGATTATGACATGTCCACCCCTCAGTTTCTCTCTCTCTCTCCACTGGTACTGGGGATTGAACCCAGGGCCCTTTACCACTGAGCCACATCCCAGCCCGTTTTATTTTTTATTTTGGGACACATCCTTTCTAAGTCGCTAAGGCTGGCCTTGAACTTGCCATCCTTCCTGCCTCCGCCTCCCCAGTCGCTGGGATGACAGGCATGCGCCACCAAGGCTTTATGACTCGGTTTTCTCGGCTGTGAAATGGGCCTTTCTGGACCAGTCACGCGGGGGAAGTGCTTAGAAGAGAGCCTGGCACAGGACAAGCCCCCGGGACTCAGTCTCGCCAGCGCCTGTGCGGGGGGGCCGGCTGCCCTCCGGCCCGTGTCGCCGGCGCAGGGGCCACCTGGGCGCAGCGCGCAGCTCACCTGTGGTACTGGGCCTGCAGGAGCTGGAACTCGTCTTTTATGCGGTCGCAGGAGTCGGAGGTGGTGAACTTGAGCTGCTGGGGTAGGTGCGACGAGCCCTGGGGGAGGGGCGGCGGTCACCGCGGCGCGCGGCCCCTCCCTCGCCCGCGCCGCCGCAGCCCCCCCGCGCCCCACTTCCCGGCCCGCGCGCCCCCCGCCGCCCCCGCTTCCTGCCGCCCCCGCCCCGCGGCCTGGGGCGCGCGGACCGCCGCGGCGGGGGCAGGGCGCGCGGCCGCCGGGCGGGGAGGGGCGCGCGTCCAGCCCGCGGCCCGGCCGCCCTGCGCCCTGGCCGGGGCCCGGGGTCCCGCGAAGGAGACGGCCGACACCGCAGGCCCCGGTCACCGAGCGGCGGCCCCGGTCACCGAGGGGCGGCCCCGGTCACCGAGTGGCGGCCCCGCTTGCCGAGTGGCGGCCCCGCTCACCGAGCGCCGGCCGCGGCCACCAAGCGGCGGCCCCGGCCACCGAGTGGCGGCCCCGCTTGCCGAGTGGCGGCCCCGCTTACCGAGTGGCGGCTTTGCGGAAACATCATGTCAGGCGCGGCGGGGGGCGCGCTGCGCCCGGCTGTGCGCCCGGCTCGGGCCGCTCGGGGCGCCGGGGGCCGCGCCTTTGTCCCGGCGCCGATCGGCAGCTCCCGGGCCGCCGCCTCCCGCGCCCGGCCGCGCCCGCTTCCTGCGCCCCCTCCCGCGCCCGGCCGGCGCGCCCCGGGCCCCGCTTCCTGCGCGCCCGGCGCCTCCCCGCGCGCCCGGCCGCCGCGCTATTGTCTAATGGCGGCGACGCCGGCGGGGCCGCGGCTCGGCTGTGCGGAGGCTCCGGCTCCACCTGCTGCTGCTGCCGCCGCCGCCGCCCGAGCCCCGTGCGCGCCGCCGAGGGGGGGACGCGCGCGCCCGGGGAGGCCTGCGGATCCCCACCCCGGCCGCCTCCCGGGCCGGCCCGCCGCGGTGACCTTGGCCACGCGCGCCCCCGCCCCGGGCCGCGGCCCCCGGGCCCGCCCGCCGCGCCGCCGCGCCTCCGGGCTGGGGGGCCCTGGCGGGCGGCCGGGCCTCGGTTTCCCCATCTGTCAAAGAAAGGGGCCCGGCCGCCCGCCGCCAAGCCGCCGGCTCCGTCATGGCGCGACCTGGACGCGTGCCACGGACGTGCTCGGTGACCTTGACTCTAGCTGGGCGGCTGTCCTCTCTGAGCCTCAGTTTCCTCTTCTGTGGGTATACAGGCGGCGGGTGTACGTCCTGCCTCGCAGGAGCCACGCCTTCAGTACACATTTTTTGAGCGCCTACTGTGTGCCAGGCTGTGCTCCAGGACTCAGGGTAGGGGTGGGGGCGGGGTGCACAGTCCCTGGCTTGGTAGAGGCCGAGACACATCAGAGACAAAGCACAAGAGCCAAATCCCAGGCGGGTCAGCTGTGGTGTGAGCCAGGAGAAAAACAGGAGCCAGGGAGGGCCCGGGAGGCGCTGCTTTAAACAGGGTGCAGGACGGGGGTGTCAGAGAGGGCCTGGCACGGAAGAGGACGCTGTAACGGCAGTGAGGGGCGCCCCCTCCATGCACAGGGTGGAGCTGTGTTAGCAGGGCACTGTCAAGAGGCCCGAGAGGCAAATGCAAAGGCCCTGAGACTGGACCGCCCTGGCGAATAGGCAGCCTGGGGAGAGGTCCAGCGCGGCCTGCTGCCTCCTGCCTGCCCAGGGGCTGCTCCCGGAGGGCCTGGGCTGACGCTGTGCTCTGAGGTTTTAAATTCTTAAGTCAGTTTTGAACAAGGGGCCTCCGGGTTTTATTTCGCACTGGGCCCTGCAAATCAATTCTTTCCTTTCTCTCTCTGATTTCTCCGTGAGTTGGGGTGGGATGGGGGGACTGGACCCAGGGGTGCTCTGACCCTGAGCTGCACCTGCAGCCCTTCTTTATTTTGAGAGAGGGGCTCAGTAGCTAAGGCTGGCCTCACAACCTGCCTCAGCTTGCAGAGTTGCTGGGATGAGAGGCCCAGCCCTGGTGCCTCCCGGGGATGGAACGCAGGACCTCATACAGGATTTAGGCTTATCTCAGATTTTGGTCCTAGGGATTGAACCCAGAGGCACTTTACCACTGAGCCACAGCCCTTTAATTTTTTTTTTTAATTTTGAGACGTGTTTTTGCCAAGTTGCTTAGGGCCTTGCTGACTTGCCCAGGCTGACCTCAAACTTGAAATCCTCCTGCTTCAGCCTCCCCCGTCACTGGGGTGACCGGTGTGCATCACCAAGCCCAGCTAGACGGAGGCTGTCACCTTGAGGGAGGTGAAGTCATGGAGCTGTGGGCCCAGGAGGACCACATTCTGGCTCCAATTTTGAAAGAATAATTTTCCTTGTGCAGAATGGGCCTCAAAGAAGTGATTGAAACAAAGGTGTTACTTTATGGTCCTCCTGGGCAGCACAGCCTGCTCCCTGAAGAATGTAACTTCTTTGGGCCTTCCTGTTCCCTGTGCAGAGCCCTGGTCCCAGCTGAGCAGGCCCGCTGCTGCCGAGCTCATCCAAGCCCGTCCTCAGTGATGAAGGTAGATAACACTGTGAGACAGCACAGCGTGTTTTCCCCGTGCTGGGGATGGAACCCAGGGCCTCTCATAGGCAGGCAAGCTTTTCTGCCACTGAGCTACATTCACCCCTATTTCTAATTCTCTTAATTTATTTTTTAGATTTTGGTGTTTTTAGTTGTAGGCAGACACGATGTCTTTATTTTACTTATTTTTATGTGGTGTTCAGGATCAAACCCAGGGCCTCACACATGCTAGGCAAGTGCTCTACCACTGAGCTACAACCCCAGTCCATATTTTGAGACAGGGTCTCACTAAGCTGCCCAGTCTGGCCTCCAAATGGCGGGGATGACCCGTGAGGCCATCACACCAGGACTTAAATCATTTGGGCTGGCTGGCTGGCTTTCTTTTTTTGCCGGGGTGGGGTGGGGGGACTGAACTCTGGGGCACTCGGCCACTGAGCCACACACCCCAGCCCCAGTTTGTGTTTTACTTAGAGTCAGGTCTCACTGATTGCTGAGCACCTCGCCATTGCTGAGGCTGGCTTTGAATTCTCGATCCTCCGGCCTCAGCCTCCGGAGCCGCTGGGATGACAGGCGTGGCCACCGCCTGGCCCTGGCCTTCTCTCTTGGTCCTGGGAGTTGAACCCAGGAGTGCTACCAAAAAGCTGCACCCCCAGCCCTCGATTGTAGTTTGTCTTTTGAGGCAGGGTCTCTTTTTTCCTGAGTAGTTACACATGACAGCAGAGTGCATTTCGATGCATGGTGCACCAGGGGAGCACAGCCTTCGTTTCTCTGGTTGTGCACATCACAGAGTCGCACCGAGCGCGCGGTCATTCGTGTACCTAGGGCAGTGATGACCGTCTCATCCCACCATTCACCTATCCCCCGTTATGGATCCGCGTCCACTGAACAGACAGAACTTTCGGCCTTGTTCTGGGGACTGGCTCACTTCCCGAGCGTGCTATTCCCCAGCTCCATCCGGTCCCCTGCAGAGGCCACGGACTTATTCTCTTTTCCAACTGAGTTGAGACGGTCTTATTCGGCTGCTGAGGGCCTCGGTGACATTCTGAGGATGGCCTCCGACTTGCAATCCTCCTGCCTCAGTGTCCCGAGTCGCTGGGGTGGTAGGTGTGCGTCACCACATCTGGCTCAAGACAATCACTTCTCCAGCGAGATCTAGAACAAAAAGCCAGGCCCAGGTCTGTGGTCTCAGCCACCGTCAGGCAGAGGTGGGCGAGCAGACGGGCTCAGGAATCCATTTGAGTCCAGTCTGGGCAACGTAATGAGACCCATTAAAAAAAGGGCAGCAGGTGTCAGCATGCTAGATCGGGAACAGGGTCAGTGGGGCAGGCCGGGTCAGCTGGCCACACGGGTCAGGCTGGGCGCAGCCTCGAGGAGCAGAGCGGGCGGCTGACCTCCTCCAGTGTGTTCCCGAGCCGCAGACCCCACAGGTCTCACTGGAGTCCCCATCAGGATGGGCTCCAGAGTTTGGGGACAGAATGAAGATGGGGGCCTCTGCTTAGAGGAGTGCTGCTGGGTGTGGTGCATGGCACAGTCCTGTCACAGCTGCTGAGCAGGAGGACCAGCCCCAGGCTGGACCGGGCAGCTCCGTGAGACCCTGCCTGCCTTTAGAAGGGCGTGGGAGCTGGACTCGGGGGTCCGGGTTCGACCCCCAGCCCCGCCAGAAGAGGAGGAGAGAGATGATCAGGAGCTTCCAGAGGGGCAGGGCCTTGTCTGGCGGGGACTGCATTCTGGGGGGGCCATGCAGCGCCCACCCAGCCCGCTGGGCGCTGGACAGGCCCCTTCTCTTGGGCAGCCACCTGGACTGAAGCTCGGGCATCAGCACACTCGGTGGGAGACAGAGCCGGGCGCCGTGGGCACCGGGGGTCAGCGTGGGCCTCTCTGAGGGCCCGGGCCTGTGGAGCGGAGTCGCTGTGAAACAGAGGTTTTCAAGTCGAAAGGCTTTTTCAGCCAGTGGAGGACCAGGACAGGGACCAGCTGTGGCCAAGAAGCCGACTGAGGGTCTGGGTCTCTTCCTGGCACCGGGCTCCGGCGTAGGCACCAAGGCCAGGTGTCCTGGTGTCTGCTGAGAGATGGCCAGAGAGGTGAGTGGACCTGGCCAGAGTCACACAGCGGAGGTGGCAGGCCAGGGGTCAGGCTGGGCCAGGCGGCTCCTGCCCCCGGGGAGCTCGGGGACACCCGCTGGCCGGCCACACACCTGGCTTCTCCTGGGGGCGCAGGGGGCGTGCCACAGTGCTGACGCTCCTCGGGTCATTGCGTGGGTGCCGGGTGCTGGGGCTGAGGGCGTGGAGCAGAGACCTGACCTCCACACACTGCTCACCACTCCCCAGAGGTGTGACGACCACAGACGTCCCCAGACACTGCACGAATGCCTTGGGGAAAGAGCCACCCCAGCCTAGGTGCGCTGGCTGGTGGCATCCAGGAGTCACCAGATGCCGGTGGCAGAGGCTCTGGTTGTGTGGCGGGGTGAGGCCAGCCGAGGCCCTGCAGGGAGAGTGTTGGGGCAGAAGGGACAATGGGGGGTCACAAACTGCCCCCGTGTGGAGCCACCTGCCCCACGCGCTACTGTCCCCGGCTCCTCAGGCCCCACGGTCCACATCGAGACCTTCCCTGGCCATCGGGTTCTCAGGGCCACACCTAGGGCCATCAGGGGGCCCTGTGTCCCAGCAGCCCAGCGAGAGCGGCCCCCGGGTTACAGATGGGCCGCAGTGAGGGGTGGCTGGGTGGCCGTCACTCGGAGCCCCAGGAAGCAGGTGGCTGCCTTCTGGCCCTGCGGTCAGCTCTGGGTTGGAGCCTCTGGCCGGGCGACCTGGTCAGCACCTCAGGGTCCTCCCCCCATGAGGGTGCCCGGTTCTCGCCGTCCCTCTGTGGCGTCGGCAGGAGGTGGCCAGCTCCCCTGTGTCCTCCCAGCACTGCTCCGTCCACCTCACTGACTTTAGTTTTACTGATTAATCTACCCGCAGGGGGCTGGAGCCCAGGCCCCTGTGCGCACAGCCAAGGCCAGAGCCGTCCGCCGGGCGTGAAGAGCAGCTGTTTAGCAGCTGTTTCTTATTTTGGTATTGAGGTCTGAACCCAGGGACACTCGGCCACTGAGCCACACCCCAGCCCCAGTTTGTATTTTATTCAGAG